CCCTGGAAGTGTGCTGTGGAGCCCAGGGCAGCACTCCCTGGGACACAGCGGTGCTCACAGGGGTGTGTGGATCGTCCCTGTCACTCCTGTCCTGGAGCTGCAGAAGACCCTGTCTCTGAGGAAGTTCAATTCCTAATCCACTGAGCAACACTGTGACTTGTTGGGACTGAGGGAGAGCAGGAGGGCTCTGGATGTTCATATGGCAGAAAACAGTCTAAGCTCACAGGAGCCTTTCTAGTGTAAAGGAAACCCTGACTTGTCTAATTATACAGATTAGCAGAGTTGTGTCCGCCCCACCCCCCACCCCCGGCTCCTGTGGAGACTGAAACAGATGATAACACGAGGCAGGGGGAGACACAGTATCACCCCAGTGAGGGGGAAAAAAAAAAACTGACTAAAAGCAAAATGACAACTTAAAAAAAAAAAAAAAAGGAAGGAAGGAAGGAAGGAAGAGAAAAAAGAAAAAGGTCCCACAATTTAGTATTCATCAGGGCACCCCATAAGTGCTCACGTGAACATTCTGGGAACAGACGTAATTGGGGTGTGAGGGATGCAAACCTCACCCACAGGAATCTGGGAGAATGTATCTTTGGAAGGTTCTAGAAACTGTGGAACCAGCCTACAGTTTCTGTCCTGGCGTGTAAGGCTGACACACTCAGATGACAGGATTCAGTTTCCACAGACCCTGGTGTGGGCAGAGACCCCGGCCTGGAGAGGCCATGGCTGACAGCGGCTGCAGACTGCAGGAGCCACTGTGGTTAGGTCGGGATCTCCTCTCCCTCCTCTGAGACAGATTTGCAGCTGTCCAGGGAGAAGGCTGAGCCTGGGGATCAGTTAGGTCCCTGCCATGCTGGATCAGGAGACCCAGGGTCACTGTCTGCCCTGAGACAGGGGCATGACCCCAGCTGAGGGGTTTCTTCTTCCTCTGGACTGAGCCCAGCCCGAGGGCAGAGGGAGGAGCTGCCCGCGGCCCTGCACCTGTGCGCTGCAGTGCGTCCTTCCAGATCTCCAGGTATCTGCGCAGCGACTCCACGCACTCGCCCTCCAGGTAGGCCCTCCGTATCTCTGCAGCACCACCCTGCTCCCACTTGCGCCGGGTGATCTGCGCCGCCGTGTCCGCCGCCGTCCACGTCGTCAGGTCGTCGTTCAGGGCGAGGTAATCGCGGCCGTCGTAGGCGAACTGATGGTACCCGCGGAGGAGGCTCCCGTCCGATCCCACTTCACAGCCATACATCCTCTGGATGGTGTGAGAGCCTGCAGGGACCCCGCGGTCAGCTCCGCCCAACAGAGGTCAGCCCCGCCCCGCGGCCCCGCCCACCCGCGGACTCCCCTGAACCGAAAGGGAAACCGGGTCCCGGTCCCCGACTCCTCCCGAACCTCGGACCCGGGACCCGGGGCGACTCCGGCCCTGACGTAGGGACGAGGCGGGGTCGTGACCTCCGACCTGCGGTCACTCACCGCCCTCGCTCTGGTTGTAGTAGCCGAGCAGGGTCCTCAGGTTCCCTCGGAAAATCTGCTCGACGTTCTTGGCTCTCCGTGTGTTCTCCTCCCAATACTCCGGCTCCCGCTCCACCCACGGCGCCCGCGGCTCATATCTCGGAGTCTCCGCGTCGCTGTCGAAGCGTTCGAGCTGCGTGTCGTCCACGTAGCCGACTTCTGTGTACCGGGGCTCCCCGAGGCCGGGCCGGGACTCGATGGTGTAGAAATACCGCATGGAGTGCGAGCCTGGGGGCGGCGCGCGGTGAGACCCTGACCCTCCTCCCGGGACCCCGGGCGGGTGCGCGGGCCGGGAGGGGAGCGGGGCGCGGGGCTCGGGACGCGGTGGAGAAGGGCGGGAGGGTCTGGATGGGCGACGCGGGGACGCGGCTTCCCCGGGGCCGCCCCCGCCCTCCCCGCAGAGTCGTTTCCCTCCCGTCCCTGCACTCACCCGCGCGGGTCCGGGTCGGGGCCAGGGCGGCCGCCAGCAGCAGGAGCAGCGTGCGCGGAGCCATCGCCCCCATCTCGGATCTGGGGCGTCTGAGTTCCCCGGGCTGCGTGGACTTTATAACCCGTGACCGCGGCGACGCTGATTGGTTCTCCGGGATCTCGGCACCCAATGTGAGTACGAACAGGACACTTGTCATCAGTGTCCGGGAAGAAGGACCCGACACAGGTCAGGAGCTGGAGAAGTGAAACTGGGCACCTGGGGATCCCCAGCCCTGGGCTTCCACCCCAGACCTCACCGCCTGGGGACTGAGACTTTGCTGAACCCTGTGCTGCGGGACGGAGCGCTGTGTGTCAT